TAAACAAAATTTACAAATGTTTATTTTAAATTACACATATTCTGACAAATAACTTGGTTTTTTAATATTCCTTCCAGACCTAGTCTTATATCCAAATTCATATTCATTTCTTACATTATTTATTTCTTCTTGCCTTACAATATTATCATTACAGCTTTTAGATTCCCGTAAACAAGTATTTTGTTCGAAGGTTAAATCAACAATATTCTTTTTTGACCCACATTCATTTTCTTGTTAAGCATTACTGTAACTATCCATATAATCATTTTCGTTCCTCTCCTTTTTAATAACAAACTTATCAAAATTCTTACTTTCTATTAGATCTTTTCTATTTCTATCAAAGATCTGACCTTTCTCAGACAAAACTGTATAAGAATTTGGACGATTATTCCTTTGTAATATTTTTGCATAGTTTAATGGTTTTTTACTAGTTTCATCACTTATTAAAACTTTTTGATTATTGTATTTCTTTATCATAATATTTTTTTTTGTTTATATGCATTCTTATACATTTTTTTCTGTATTTCGGCCCTTTCTTTATTATACTTAGTAACTATAGGTAACAATCCTTGAATACTTCTCCCCATTAGTAATTCAGAAGGACTACTAATGTATTTCTATACTCTAACAAAGCTAAGTGTCTATCTTTATTCTCTAAATCAGCTTTTTCAAATAATATTTTTAACAGTTTGAATAAACCTTTCGGCTAACCCATTTGACTGATGATAATAGGGACTACTAGTTTTATGTACAAAGTTCCAATCCTTAGTAAATTCTTTAAATTTATGTCTTACATAGTTTGTGCCATTATCTGTATATAAAACATCTGGTATTCCAAATCGACTAAATATAGATTTTAATATCAAAATTGTATGCTCTGTTGACATATTTAAAAGTTGAATTGTTTTAAAGTACTTACTAAACTGATCAACTACTATTATATAAGGATTACTTTTATAATAAAATACATCACTTGCTAATACAGACCAAGGTTTGTTAGGCATTTTCCTAATCATCATGGGTTCCTTACTATTATTTTTTCTGAATCTTTCACAAACTTGACATTTCAATACTTTTTGTTCAATATCTTTAGCCATATTAGGCCAATACAAACATTTTCTAGCTTTTGATTTACATTTTTCAACTCCTAAATGATTGTAGTGTATTTTATACAACATATCTTTTTGAAGTGACTTAGGGACAACTAAACAATTATTCTTAAAAATTAAATCATCATACACAAATAATTGTTCTTGTATTGTATAATATGGTTTCAAAGTTCCTAGTATTTTTTCTTTGTTATTTGGCCAACCATTATTTATATCGTGTATTATTAAAAGATATTTATTTAGTTGTAAGCACTTGAATATAAAGCAGTTCTCGTCGGAGCCATTGCGGAAGAGAGGGTGTATCACAGATAACGAAACAGAGTAGCTAAAACACAGACTATCTTTAGTATTAACAAACCTATTACAGTCAGGGACAATTTCTTGAGCTCTCGGAGAACTCATACAACAAGCGTTTGATCTCAGGAAACTTCTGAAGATCACATAGCGCGTCTAACTGCTAACCGTAACATACATGCAGTATGGTATGAGTATGAAACTTCCTTTGATAGAGAAATGCGCTTGCTAAGAGAGAGCGCTCGCAGAAAAGAGCTCGGAGTTTGCACAATAGAGATCAAAAAGTAGTTTCGATTATCGCCAACCGGTGTTGCGTTCATATTCCACAGGCGTACCGAAGTTAAGTTTTCACAAGGTATAATGAACTAGCTGTTTTCCCGCAATTTTGTCGCAAAATTATAGCCTATGACATCCGTGATGTAGCTTCCCGTAGGTAGAATCGCTCTGAAACTATCGGTCCAGTAGTTTTGGGGCAAATTCGATGTAAACAAACAAACAACCAAATCTTTCCTCTTTATAATATAAGTATATCTTAGGTATAAGAGGTCCGATGGCGTAGTGGGTTAACGCATTCGGTTTAAATTGCAGTGAAATAAACAAGGACATACTTGAAAACTTATTTCACATAACTAAGTACAAACGACAAACTGATCGCTAGCAAGCGATTTCTTCCAGGCAACCTAGCATTACATGGAAAATAGAACAATAAATAGCCGATTGTGCATACAACTAGACAAATTATAATAATTTAAAAATATCAAAAACAAATGAAGGATAGTTTCAAGGTACGAATAAAATTATCAGACACAAACGACAACCACAGCGCGAGAAACGAGGAAAAAGATAGAAAAATTACATTCGTAAGGACAGGATGGGTGACCAAAACATTATTATTTTGAGCACTGTGCACAGCACTGGCACAATGCACGTTAAGCCGTTAGTCCTGGCTGCATCAGCAACGTGAACACCCACCGATCCGCATTAAGCACAGTGGGTTATGGCCCATTGATCTTATTCGATTCGACTCCTTTCGTAGGAATAAAAGAATTCTACCAAAATACTTCCCACGCAGACGAAGTTGCGGGCACAGCTATTTCTTGGCGTCGAATCGACGGTATCCTTTTTTCTCACTGTTAGAATAAAACTCAAATATTTTTTTATGCAAGCTGTACACACCAAACCCAAAAAGTAACATGTCTTCGTCTGTTTCACACAAACTGACAAAATTAAAATTAGACCGATTGAACTACACACGAGTAGTACCTATATACTGGAATTTGACACAAACTTATTAAACGATGTATAGAACTAACAATTGATTTAAGGCTAGTTTTTATGTCCTTGAATTAGTCGTTTTACAGGTAATGGCTCGCTTACACTGGCCGACGGGGTGAGGGCGAATCCTATGCCTCACTTTTATCGGTCGGTTGTTATTTTATAGATCAATTTTGTGAGCCCACAGAGATGAGATACAGCCGTGTGGTGGTAACAGCAAAAAATCTCATTTGTATGGAGACACCTTAAATATTTATTTTATTATATTGTCGTTGAAGCGGCAACAGAAGTATATCATTTGTGAAAAATTCAACTGTCTATTTTTCACGGTTCATGTGATACAACCTGGTGACAGACAGACAGCCAAGTTTTAGTAATGTGGGTTATCGTTTTACCCTTTGGGTACGGAACCCTAAAGATGCTACCGGAAGTCGCTATTCCACGCGGATATTATGTTATGATGGTATACTTTTCAACAAAATATGTTTCGACGTGAGGGTCTACTCTCAAACCCTCTATAACGTTTTTGTATGAAAAGTTTTGTTATGAAAGTTTTGAAAGATCTTAAGCATTTCCTTTTTAAATTAACGAATCAGTTATCATTAAAACTCAGTAAATTGCAAACTGATATACAAAATTCAATGTTTGTAGGTACTAAAGATTATTGATGTTCAAAAATTAAATAAACAATTTATTTCAGTTCAGTTTGATATATTGACGAAAATTAATTTAGCGGGTTTTGTAAGTAGACCACTCATTGTAGAAATTTTATTTTTCACGGTTTTAAGATGGTTCTATAGGCCGGATTTCATTGGTTGTTGTGTTTTAAAAAATAACATTAATAATTAAATTTGAAATCTGCTTCTACTTCAAATAATCGAGCCTTGACGATTATATCGACTGTCAAAAAAGATATTGAAATAAAAAAGTGTTTTATTTGTTATTATAATTTTATTTTTTAATTCATTCAATTATTTTAAATTGCTTACTTAGCACATATAAAGTGAAACTTAAAATATATGATAATTGTTATTGTTATGAGCTGGGACATGGGTTCAAAATTAATGCCGTGTTGGGTGTAGACAGTAAACGAAAATAACTACATTTTTTTCTGGTAGAGTTTAATATGCTATTACCGATAATCACACTTTTTATTATATATACAATATAACTTAAACTAATTATGAAAAAACAAATATTTTATGCTCGATGTCACGTGACCGCAAACAGCGCGTGACGTCACGCCCTTCTTATTCATATCAGAACTTAGATAATTCAACCTTATGCATACATAGAACGATATTTGTTTTAGAGTGCCATGACGTTATAGCGACGCCATGACAGAAGTGAAAAAAAAAATCCGTCAGTTCAGGTATTTTCTCCACACTAACGCTTTGAATATCGCTTTCTATCTCTATCGTTGTATTGTCAGGATACTGAAATAATGCTGGGACGGCTAGCTAGCCGCGTATTTTATGCCAACTTCAAAAAAGGAGATTCGCAATTCAACTGTTTGTTTTTTATTAATAACATACAGTTGAATTGGGAATGTCCATCGTATACTAGACGCATCGAGATCATTAGTGAGCGTAATTCTGCGTTGTTATTAGAAGGCAGCGCCTGTTGCTCCGTAACATTATCATTGAGCTCGATACTTTGGTTATTCTAACAATTTAATAGTAAGCAGTCTTATCTGACTAATCAAACGATCTACAGATCGAGTTATGGGCAGAAAATATTATACAAGAGGCTAATCTGGTTGCATAGCTTATATTTCCTAAAAGGTTCGAACCTATAAGTTTGGACGCCAGGTTCAAACAGGTGAAATTTTTTATTACAGACTTCAAAAGATTAAAATGAATCCAATATAATTTATTCAGTATAGGATAATACAAGCATTAATGAAAGTCGAAACATATGTCTTTGGCTCTCAAATCTACGGCGATAGGTCTTGTACTGAGAAGAACCAGTAGAAACTCAGCAAGTACTGCTTAGTATGGTATGTGACCTCCACTCTTTTCTAGTATATTAGTCCTAGTGAGTTGCATATCCGCAATCATGTTCCAGCATATTTCCTTCCTTCTTAATGATTCCCAAGTGAAATGCACCAGATCTCGAAGATTCCTCTGATTTCGCAATTCAGTGGGATCCCAATTGAAAATCATTTGTGCCCAGAGATTTTCAATGGGATTTAGATCTAGACTTTTTGCTGTCCAAGATTGGATATCAGGATGACTTGCCAACTATTCTTGCACAACTTAAGATGTATGGATGGCACTATTATTCTGGGCAAGATAAATAGTGCCTTCAGGGCAAGCCAAACGAGCGGTTGGTAAAAAGATATCTCTAAGGAGCTACTTATTTATTGCTACATCTTATCTATATGTTTACAATTAAGAAGAAAAGGTCTTCCTTGAGGATATCACAAATTGCTTTGATAAATTGAATTAGTCTTAAATTTATAGAAAATAGACATCAGTAAAACTATTAGCTGCTACTAGTATATGTGATAACTAATGCTTAGGTATCAACAATTACTGATAACGGGAAGATTCTTTCCCTTGCACTTGTTTATCCAGCCATACCAAGCGTTGAAACCGTGCCGTTGGTAGATCTTCTTCGCGCAATTGGAGGCCTTTGTGATGTTGTCAGTCCTTAGTGCTGCAAAAAAGACCTTTGTTAACCGACTTCCAAACGTAAACGGAGGAGATTATATGTTCGACGGCGATGTATATTTTTATGTATGTTTGAGCAAATAAAGAAAATGAACAAAATCTTCTTTTATAAGACTTTCACTATGTTGAATATTTTTATTTATAAAGATCTATATCTATACTTAATATCATAAAGTGGAAAGATTTGATAGTTTGTTGGTTTGCAACGAATAGGTTCAGAAACTACTGGACTGAATTTATTAAATCTTTCATATGCGGTGAACATAGGCTATATTTTATCCCGAAAACAGCAAATAAAGGGATGATAATGGGTGTGGAAGTTACCATAGTAACGATTTTGTCATTGTAATTATATTTGTGTCATCGTATCATGATATGAATCGATATCCAAATAAACAGGTCCCCATGGACCACGCGGGCGAAGCCGCTGGTGGAAAGCTATTATTTAATATTTTTAGTGTTACGATATATAATTGGTAACACTAAAAAGAATGAAATAAAAACTTAAAAAAATGGAACCAACTTCAAACTTTATAAAAGTGATAAATTACTTATCTTAAAGAAAAAGCTATTGAAGTCGGGGGAGTTCTATTTTTTAAAAGGTTTTTATTGACTATTACAATTTAAAAATGGCCTATCTATATAATATTTATGTTATCTATATATATTACCAATATGTATAGGTAATATAAATATAAGAACAGCGCTATGCTTTATTACTTAGAACAGGGTTTATGTGTTTGAACCAGATATGTGCTCGACGATGATTTTAACGCTGATTTTATTATTAACACCTGAGTTTCACCCAATTTTTCGAATAAATCCTGGTCATGGTCTATCCTCCTTAACCATCTATAAGGAAGGCCGGAGCTCTTGCAGTGGGAACGTAAAAGGGCTGATGATGATTATGATGAGATAGAATGAAGCAATAAATAGAAAAAAGCCGAAGCTCTCTTCATTTAATCTTAAAACTGCTTTGTGGTCGGTGCTGTGTTATCTTTTTCCATTCTTTCTTGGTAAGTCGTCAACCTTTTGCTATTTTTTTCCGTTCAGGTCATTTCAGAAAAGTTTTTAATTCAGAATACAAAATGTTTAAAGAATAGATACCGTTCATATCGTTCACATAAAATACACAGTTTATTCATTACTTTCAGTATACAGTCTTACCGTCTGTGTCTGCTTAAAACTACTCGATACCCTAAGAAATCTTTATTATCTATATAACCCCTATCAAACAATATACTAGTATTAATATTAAAAAATACATATTTATTATAACCAAAATAGATAGTTGTAAAGATATGTGTGAAGGGCGAAAGAGATACGTGAAGTATAAACTCATGGATTTTCTAAAAACCTTACCTTTATGCAAGCAATATTTTTGGTACTGTTTCAGATGCCCTAAGCATTGCTTAATGGAGTATTCACAATGGTCGATTGTTTGTACGCAGAGTGCATCCAGGTGCATCCGACTGAGCGCTCATCTCATTGGCTTATAAAACAATGGCCGACCAATGGAAGCGAGGAATAGAAACCACCCGCAAGCGGATATCATCGAACAGTGTAAAGCTTGAGGGTCAATTCGGTATAATGCCTAGATTTTTTTAAGCTTTTGACGGTCCGCAACATAACATTTTGATTTTAAACATGCTTTGCAGACTATTTTAGTTATGTGCCAGGATAATGGCTCAATGTGGCTATTTCGTCTAGTGAAGTTGATTTACCTGCACAAGTGGTGTTACAGTCTTTTCCCGGCTTGTTAGAGTTGTTGCACCAGTAGCGGTCGTTTATCTGGAAGAGGCCGTGGTCGCGGGATCCGTTACTGTTGGGGCGACTGATGACATGTGTGCGGCGGGAGCTCTCACTCTCCACAAGACAAACCCCTGAAGTCAAGAGCATTTTAATTTTATTTATGCTTCATTTTTACTATTCTATGGAAATATAATTGGTTCATTGCACACAGTGTTGTTATTAGCAGTTCGATCAAATAAAACCTTTTTTTAATCTCCGTCAGTTGGTTTCATTGAACCTCTAAAGCTATTCAACGCTGTATTTTAACAAAATTGCACTGTTGTACTTCAAATGAACACAAAGTAGTTCTTAGGATCACTCGTCTGTGTCTGTCCATCAGTACATCTTATCGCAGATATTGTTGGCTTTGTTATAACTAAACCCATTTATTTGAAGAAGAAGAAGAAGAAGAAGAAGAAGAAGAAGAAGAAGAAGAAGAAGAAGAAGAAGAAGAAGAAGAAGAAGAAGAAGAAGAAGAAGAAGAAGAAGGAGAAGAAGAAGGAGAAGGAGAAGGAGAAGAAGAAGAAGAAGAAGAAGAAGAAGAAGAAGAAGAAGAAGATTAAGATATCAATTTGTTTCCAATGTTAAGGGCAGATACTATGAACTCTACGTTTTTTATCGAACGGAGCCCTAGTTTCATGAGTCTTACTTACACTTTGCAAATTTTATTTTATAATTTAATTACTGAGATGTTTAAAAACCGACCAATTCACATGCAGTAAGTATTAATAAACGTCACTTTAGACGCATGATACTTACAATCTCTTAGTTTATTTTCTGGAAATTTCTGTTTTCTCAACTCGCGGACCAACTGGCATCTTGTGAACGTTTTTGCCTCGCATTGCAAGCAAACTACAGCGATAACACCACAAATTATCAATAAAACTTTCATGTTGTTCAAACCTTTCGGATACTTGTTAATAGCAAAGGAGATTCGCAAACAATGAATGATTAGAATTACCAATTACGGTTTTATATATAGTCATATGATTCTTATTACCTTGTACTTAAGTAATGCAGATAATCCTGTCATCAAATACCTGTGATAAGATTATTCCATTTTAAAAAGCATTTGCATTGGATTTACTTCATTATTATGCCTATGGTTAATGACTTATTTTATGAAATTAAAATGTATCTCATTATTGTGTTAGAGATAAAAAATCGACATTTGAATATCATTTTATATGGACCGTAGCTGTATATTTTCGCTTCGGGCTTTATTAGCGAGAAGATGCGGAAGTGGTCCACAAGGTCAATTGCTTTTACGATTCTCTGTCTGTCTGTTTGTCACCAGGCTGTAGATATCTTAAGAATCATGCAAGTTAGACACTTGAAAGTTTCACAGATGATGTATTTCTATTGCTGGTCTAACGACGAATACTTAAAAAATATAATTAAATAAATATGGAAGGGAGCATCCATAAAACAAATGTGTTATTTTTTGCTTGTTTTCGGAACGAAACCCTTCGTGCATGAGTCCAACTCGCACTTGGTTTTTAGTTTTTTTTTTACAATTTTTCTTTGCTTTAAAACAAGTATCATTTGTTCCTTTTATTAGGATTTGTATCCACAGGGCCTTAGGCTGAAATCCGTCAAGCCCTCAGGTCAGCTCCTCACCATGTCAGGTGCTCCAGATAGGATTCGAAACCATATCGCTACGCTGGCCGACCACTGCTCTACCAAATGAGTTAGGTACCCGACATCCTCGCGAGGTCTTTGAATATTTTCACCTACTTATAATCTTGCTAGTGTTTTTATTAGGGTTTTAGAAATGCTATTTAAAGAGTCAAAAGAAATATACGCAATCAAACGAGAACATCGATTTTGTTATATTTCGACGCTGGAAAGCAACACGTAGTAACCCGCGAAACCAAAAGTGTTCTTCAGAGCAGAAAAACTTTTAAACTTTTACTTTTATTATAGATCAATAATTCCTATAAACGTCCATGGTAACAAATAAGGTGTCCCTTAGTCAATTTATACGGAAAAAAAGACTTTCTTTTTTGAAAAATACAAAGATTTTTCACTCCAAATGTCCATTTTGGTTTTGCAGGTGACTACGTGTTTGCTTTCCAGCGTCGATTTAATTAAGTATTTAGTGAAAAACATACCAAAACAGTTACAGATACTTTTTAAATACACTAGTATCAATTGTCTAGCTACTGTTTATACTCTGTACTATATTAATGAATAATTTTTTTTTTATTATTACTAGAAAAATGTTCAATTACTACATATCATTTACAAAACTGTGATATTTTATTTAGATTGTTTATTTTTAATAAGACATAATACCTATATTATTATTTGTGACATAATTGTACAGTCAACAGCATGTCATGTGTGGATTACTGGGCAGTCTTGAAAATTAACTGTGCAAAGACATAATAAAGCGACGTGCTGTTGCGTGTAATTAGGTATATATTTTTATCAATTCACTTTTATGCGTAGGTCCCACCTTAAGTGCTTGTCGATTACCGATACTAAACAAACATTAAGCAGGTCAAGTGATCTTCAAATATTTCGCCGAAATTTTATGATCTACCTAACGATAATTACCGACAAATAGATAATTTCTAAGAAAGTGTTAAGCCACGATCAAACTGATACGTGCTCAGAATTATATTTTCATTTCTTTCAAGGCTTCTTACAGTAAGCCGCTGATAGAGGAACATGTGAACTGAGGTCGATTGGTACAATCAAACTACATCGATAAGTAAGGTGACCGTCCCTATTCTCCCTTTGTAAGATTGTTCGCTTTTTTTTTATTAAAAATACATACTTCTCTCATATACGGTAACTGTAATACTAATCATAGATACCTAAGTTAACTTTATAATTATTTTTTATTCAATCTTTCCATATGACTCAAATATGACGAACGAGAACGATTGTCTCTTGCGCCAATTTTAACTAGGCTTAACAAATAAGCTGTTATCGGTTGCAGTTTGGTCAATGACTCATTGCAACAATAAAAACACCATTATTTTCCTTGACATGCGATTCTTTGGCAATTTCTTGTACAAATAACAAGTGTGTAAGACGTTAACAAATATGAAGTTATTGTTGGCTATTACTGCGGTCGTGGCTGCATATTACTTGCAGTGTGAAGCCAAAACTTTTACGAGATGCGGGCTGGTCCAAGAATTAAGAAGGAAGAATTACCCAGAGAGCGAAATGAGAGACTGTAAGTCCTGACTTTGGCTTTGAAAATAAAATAAATTCATGATTAATATTTAAAGGAAATCATTTGTTTATTATATTACTCGTATTCTAGATTGAGATTATTAGATTTTTTTAATTAAAATAGTAGGGGGTATCCTACATCTTTATTCAAGGTATTTTTAATATTAACATTTATTGAGTATAGGTAATAACTATAATGAGAAAATATTAAAAAATTAAAAAAAGCACCTTTACAAAAGTTGATTTTTGCAGGAAATGAATTGACCAATTATAGTCATTTCCGTTCCATTTAACTAACATATAAAAAAACTGAAATTTGCAATGTCCGAAACTTAGATATCAATACAAATATGAAAAAGTACAAATATAATATGAGTTGTTGAGTTTTGAAAACTAATTTACTTTTATACATGAAAGAAAACCGGAAGGGTTGTCATTGAGAAATCAAGAAAGTTCCGTAGCGACATCTAGTTTGATTTCGGGAACTAATGTTTTTTATTAATACTTCTACATTGTATGTACATGTACCTATACATTTTCACATTTAAATAGATAATATTGATGGTAAAGATTTGATTATTTATTGGCGAGATTAAGAATCTTTTTATCGCAAATCTTTATATTTGCACGACTAAATCTATGTCGATTTTATAATCATGATTACTTTATTTAGGCTACTATGGCAAGGTCAAACATTCATTATCTTATTTAAATAATTTATTGGATATCATAAATTACAGAATATGACAATGACCCTATTTTATAGGTGACTTATTGCAAATAAAAATTTAAATAAATTTCACATTATCGTTAATTTTAATAATCTTGAGACTCAATAAAAGTCACCCAAGAAATTACTTCGTTACAATTGCGAATCTAAGTTAATGTGACTGATTTTGTCTTTTTGTGATTAAATAATTTATTAACGTAATGGAGCTTCGGGTTTTCTATAATTGATAGAAATAAATTTATTATTATTTAGTCTATAAACGCTATGAAACCGTAAACAAGTTGTTTCATTTATGGATAGTGCGCGTGAAAATATAAGAAATCAATATTTGTATATGTCAATATTTTTTATTCAGAACGTTTCTTTGCGCAACCATTCTATGTATTACGAGGTAGCAGATCTAAGCTATAATATTATGTCGTGGACAAATTACTAGTTTCTTATATATTTAACCAATTTTAAAATCGAAAAAGAGGATGTTATACGTTCGACGGCGATGTATGTTTTTTATGTGTGTTCTCCGCTATTGTCCTCAATTGTTGATCGATTTTGAAAATTCTTTTTTATTCGACAGCTTGATGGATTGAGGTGCTCCCATTTAAATTTTATCGAAATCAAATAAGTGGTTTTCTTTTAATGACAAAACAAAATACGCTTTTCAACAGATATTTTATTATATGCTATTCTGTTCTCAAGATGTTAAAAAATTAAAGATTGTTTATTTAGAATTCAATCAAAATCTGAAAGGAAGATTATCTATGTTCAACGAATGTATATACTTTACCCTTTAATGTATATATTTTTATTAAAGTCATAGATAGTAGGTATCAATGAGTAAAGATTTTTTGAATTTCGAATTTGGAACGCTGCTATGCCATTTTATTTATTAAGAGTTACTCTTTGTAAAACAACAAGATTTTTGTCATAAATTTAATATTTTAAAATGGAGTGCGGTGGTTAAGAGGATAAGGCACTGCATAAGGTGGGAATGGAGCCTTCCGTGATTTATAATATCCTTCAGAAGCTAGGCATCAGTCGGATGTTTGTGTATCGTACCATCAATAGGTTTGTAGAGACCTCCTCTATTGATGACCACAAGAGATCAGTCCGTCCGCGTACTGCTCGAACCACACAGGCTATTAACGCGGTCCGAGCCAGAATTCTTCGAAATTCCTTGAGAAAGCAGAAAATTTTATCCCGTGAAATGAAAATTAAGCCTAGGACCTCCTACAGTCCAGACCTGAACCCATTAGATTACAAATTGTGGTCTGTCTTAGAGGACATTGCCTGATCTAAAAGATACTATAATTTGTAATCTCTCAAGAGATCACTAGAGCGAGAAGTGGCCAACTTCCCTATAGATGTCGTACATAAAAGTATTGACGACTGACGGGTACGTTTAAAAGCTTGTGTAAACGCTACGCACTTTGAATAAAATTTTTTGTAAAACAATTGTTTCGAGTATTTTTCTTGTGTACACAACACTTACATTTATATAAAAAAAATGTCTATTTTCATTTATAACAGTATTTATGGCAGGACTCAGTATAGGGGTAGGTATGTTTATCGATTACTTCTTGAATTGTGAACTATGACTGAGAAATGTGTTGAAATGTTCATTCTAAAAGACTTGCCGAGTGTAAATTTCTGAGTTATATGGTCAATAAATGATTTATTATTCGATTGGTTGATTGAACCCATTTCGGTGAAACTAGCTCTAGCTCTAGCTATGTCCACCGCGCATTATGTAATATGAATACTTACCTATATGTAGATTATTGAAAAAAAAAAAATGTCGAGCGAATAAAAAAAAACTCGTATTGTAAGACATTTACTACGTTTAATATTTTCATTTGCATAAATGTTTCATATTTTTAGTGTTACTTATTATATAAATATCAATATCACTAAAAAGCACGAATTAAAAACTTTTTAGTAACGTAGAAACGACTTCGAACTTTAAAAATTTACTAAGATTTGTATTAAAAAGTTTTGTTCCCGAAAATACACATGATCAAACTGGAAAAATTTACTAAGATTTGTATTTAAAAGTTTTGTTCCCCAAAATACACGTGATAAAAACTGTTTTAAAATATTATGCCGTCATCTCAAATAAAGATTTAGGTTAGATTTAGTGCTCGATCGACGGTCAGCGTTGACTGGACGAACTTCGCTATATTAATTAAAATATAAACGGCTACAGTGCAATATTGATTGTAACCATCAGGAATACTATTTAAAAAGTTGAATAGCGAGTATATTATCTGAGTATTTATCGTCCGTCATTTGTTTATGGAATAAGCCACTTCATCATCATCAGCCCATTTACTTCCCCACTGCAGGGGCTCAGGCCTTCCTTATGGATGGTTAAGGAGGATGGGCCATGACCCTCCACGCTGGCCCAATGCGGATTGGAGGGTATTAACGATTGCAAATGCAGCCGGGAGCAACGGCTTAACGTGCCTTCCGAAGCATAGTGTAGCTCGAGAGTGAATAAGAGTTAATGCGCTATACCACCCAAGGCTTCATCACCACTTAGGTGCTGTCCATTAATCACGTGAGGCTCGAAAGGGGGGGAGGGTTCCACAAAAAAGTCACGAAATATCACAAGGGGGAGGGGGGGTGAAGTAACATATCACGTGTATTTATTTTTTCGACAAACGCGCGATACTCAACCGAAAAGCGGCGTAAATAAGTGTAATAAAATTATTTTTTCGTCAAACGTTCATTAAATAATAATATTCATAAAGTTTTTCGCATTCCTTTCATTATTTTTGTCAATCAAAAACAACCTGCAAGTCCTGTAATCTTTCTGTCTACCTCTAGACATTATTGTACTCTTTAATTGTCTATAATACAATTAGAAAATTAAGATTCATTGTAAGTACTAAAAATACACGTGATATATGGGGAGGGGGGGGGGGGTAGTCTTAAACCTCACCATGTATCACTATGGGGGAGGGGAGGCTTAAAAAATGCCAAAAAAACATCACGTGATTAATGGACGGCCCCTTACCATCAGGTGGGATCGTAGTCAAGCGTTAACCTATAAAGTAAAAAAAGATAATAATTTTTTGGTCACCCATCCCGACCCTTGCGAAAGTTGCTTAACGACAACGATCGCGGGCCGCGGCGCTTATCCACTACACTACCGATAAGCCACTTATTATATGAAATAATTAAAAAAACATAAACGTGATATACATGCCTGCTTTATTGAAACTTTGATATAAAAAACATTTGCTGGTTATAGTTAACCTGATGATTACTATAAATATCTGTTTCAATAGGGGTTTGTCTGGTGGAGCATGAGAGCGGACGTCGCACTGACATAATCGGACCACCTAACAGGGATGGCTCGCGCGATCACGGCCTGTTCCAGATAAATGATCATCTCTGGTGCAACGATTCTAATATTCCGGGCAAAGATTGTCACGTCACCTGTGCAGGTTAGTTTCATGATCAACATTCTAATCACCCAGTGCTTACATATATCGGAGATAGGTTTTAACAGTCCAGTGTCTTAAGAGATTTGTGACCGAGATCTTGTGCAGCAGCAGACGTCTTGTTGTCTTTGTGAGTTTATTACGAGTTATCAAGAATATATCTAGCCCAGTCAGGCAACTGACAGTGAAAATCGTATCGAAATCCATTGCGTGCTTGAGGAGTTGAATGCTACCAGTCATAGAATAACAGAGCGAAGTGGAACGCAAATTACATGGTGGAAACACGACGATTAGCTCGATGGTCACACATATGAAAGATAGAATCTTGACTATCGTCTAGGAATAAACAACCAACTAACGAGTGATTGAAACTATATATAATATCTGGAAAAAGCTTAATTGGTACTTTTTTATGTTTGGCAAGAAGTAAAAGTTTGTAGGTATCTAAGTTTGCTAGAGAGAATTTACTTGTTTAGGGTTGAAAACGTTTGCAGACCAATGGCGTTACTGTTCGAGGCCCATATCAAATTTATCGGATACAGTGGGGAGAGGGGTGGGAGGCATTATAAGAAGTTATTTTATATTACTCATTTATATACTTTTATCGATTTTGTAACACTGACAATCGACCATTGCGAAAATTTTTTAACTCCTATAATCGCTTGACGAACTAAGGGCGTATACACCATTATGAGTACGATGGGATGTCCACAACAGTTGTGACGTCACATTTAAATGGTCCACAGAGGTCGATTCCTCATGTGGTACTATGAATTGTAAACAATCTTGATTACGGCTCATATATTTTGGTAAAACTTTTGTAAGAAATATTGCATATATTTTGAGTACGATTTCATACTCCGATTCGCACTTGGTCTATTTTCAGACGGCTGTGACCATAACATTTTTTAAGGCCTCTGCCGAATGCGTCTGCCCACTGAATTTCTTGTTTAGTTAAGTTTTTATTATTCCTTTCAGAGTTGAGAACTGATGACATCACAAAGGCTTGCACGTGCGCTAGGCTCATTTTCAGACGCCAAGGCTTCTACGCCTGGTACGGTTGGATCAACCACTGCAAGGGTAAACCTCTGCCCGACATTAGCATGTGCTAGACATTTCATGAATTCTGAATTATTTAGTTATAAACAACCCAAGTGCTTATTATAAATACGATTACGACATTCGAATAAAATAGTGGTTGACATTTATAAATCTTTTATTTTTAATTAATCTTTTGTTCGTATTCTGTTACATATAATCTATAAGTATTTCTACAAATACTCCTACAAGTACTTCAAAGTACACAGGAGTACTGTAGACGACGGCAACGTATGCCGCCTCTGTTGTTAATTTATTTTTCCTTTCAAACTTGACACTTTTTTAAATAACAACTGTCACATAAAACTTTTGTCAAAGAAACTTCTGTTTTTGTATTTTTATAAGTATTAGCAAAATTTCCATCTTCCGTCGGTAATAATTATAATATATTTATTATATCATTTTATAATAAGTTTACTTATGTTATTTCGGTTGTTTACACATTAGTTAACATTTTGTCATTAAACTATATTTAGTTTAGATTTTAGTAAAATAATTACCACCAGAGTATTATTTTTTTAAATAGTCAATAAGTATGGTTTATTGACTAAGTTGTAACTTTGATTGCTTTTTGTAAATTTAAATAAGAATATTATCTCCCAACTCATTAATAAATTTATATAAAAATGAACACTAGGTTATTTTTTGCTAGTTTTTATTTTAAAGTTATATTCATATTCGCACAGACATTCGCACTAATCAGTTGAGTGGTTTGTCTGTGGTTAAGTAACAATGACAATTCTCTACATTTATATTTAAATAGATATTATAGAACTAATAATAACAAGGAAAATTATTGTAACTCTGTTGTAAGCCAATTCGGTATACCTATTATGTTATATTAACAATAAAGAAATATATATATTTGTTTGTCTTTATTTTAGTGTATAAATTCCTTATTATAGAATTGAGATCTTCTAGGAAAATCACTAAGACTGTGTCTCTGTCTTTTGGAGCGAAATTTGGTATATTAAGTTTTTTCTCTTTCTTGATATTGAATTTTGAAATTTTAAAGGGGTTAGCCCCTTAAACCAGGGGATGGAATTTGTATGAGTCTTCCGCAAATTGTGATGTAATAGTTCTGAAAATTGAATATGGATCCCGTAGATTTATATAATAAAATAAGGATTTTTACTAAATCAGCTCGATTTACAACGATCGTGGGCGGCGGCGCTTACTCACTATATCACCGAGCAACTTGATACCTTTTATACACAAAACTGAACGGTATTACAGATAATTCTAAGTCTGACTCAACATATAGACCACTTTTTATCCCATTGTACAGTTCCCCAGGACCACGCGGGCAAAGCCGCTGGCGGAAAGCTAGTATTAATAATATACTTATGTACTTCGTTGAAGTGATGTAATAAAAAGTGTATACAAAACAAAACAAAGCTTTATGGTGATTTGAAATTACAATGGCGTAGCCCAGATTATAGTTAGGTGGGTGTAGTGTTTCTCGTGGAAGTGCTTGGTTTTATTTAATTGAGTTTCTCTTGGATAACTAAAAAAGTGTAAAATCAGTTATAAATTAAAAAAGAAATCTGTTAAAATAATAGTTTTTATTACACACTTACTAAATGCTAAATATACTATATGTACAAATGAAAAAATGCTATTTAATAAAAGAAATAAATTACACAGCCAAAATACCTTATCGCTAAATAGCAAATTATTTATAGAAAATCTGTTTGATATTGGACAAATTAGATTAGCAATCTATGACATCTTAGGAAATTTGGACATGTTATATACTACCTACTCGTAATATACAATTAGATACACTAAATTATAAATAAATACAATATTACCAACGCCGGCTCCATCTTGGCGAAACTTGGCGCCCCAGATAAAACACGGTACGATGTCCATAAGTATCAAAAAAATAAAAAATAAAAAAGTTTAGTACTTTGATTAAAGAGTATTATTTTCACGGTTTAAAGAATTAGAGCTAAAAATCTGTTTGCGATGTCATGGCTCCTCCCAAATACAAGCGCCGTTAGGCAGTTCGCCTATTTTGCCTATATGGACGGAATGGCCGTGATATTAGTAAAATAGAAACAACATTAAGAAAAATTATTAACGGCAGATTTAATTGTGCTTCCTTAGCATTTACTTATCAGGTACCCGTACTGTACCCTTTTAGATTTAAATATTATATAAGACAAAGATTGTTTAGTTAAATATACATGCTGGAAATTAGTATCATTTCTCCGTAACGCGCTGATAAAAATTCTATCATATAACTGTCAGGTTGACCGGTAAATGCGTAACGGCATTAAGTCGGTCATTTGCGCGTTTGGTAAATTAAAATAAATATCCTAAGTGATAAATTAATGTGAGAAAATGGTAGAGTCGCAAGTCGAGCCTCCCTTATATCTTCTAGGTGTTAAATTAATTTTAACATTTGCTAATATTGGGCAATGTCTTCCCTTTGCAGTGGTTCTTCCAGCCGTACCAGGCGTCGAAACCATGACGTTGATATATCTTCTTAGCGCACTTAGACGCCTTTGCGATGTTTTTTGTTCTCAGCTCTGTGAAAGTAAAAACAAATAATGTTAAATTGTACAGAAGTTATATTTTGCTATTTCTAGACAATAATTGTGTTGACAACAGCTTTGCCAGCCTCGTTAGATTACGGTTATTTATATTTTTTAAAAATTCGAATATGAATTTTGTTAATTATTGGCTATTTGCTGTCTGTCTTGTATCTTGTGCTTTTATAAGTTATACACAATTTTTTGCTAAACTTATCACATTATTAAATTATCTACAGCCCATTGTGCTTACTGTCGATTGACAAGCTTTACGCGAGGCTCACGAGATCAGTATTGGATTATTTTTGTGATTTGATTTGGGGAGTGGTATAATCGAATTGCGCCAATAACCTTGGATATATATTTCACTATATATGGACGTGGAATATTTAATTAACGTAACATCTAGGTGTATTTGTTTAGGTATTCCTAATTCTTCATCTTAAATAAATTGCAGTTACAATATTCTTGATCGGAGTTGGAAAGCGACCACCGGCGGGCGTCAAGGCGGGAAGAAAAACGAGTAGACAATGTATTTCTGATGATTAAAAAAAGGTAAACCTACGTGCACAGGTGACATTGCAGTCCTTGCCCGGTTGGTTGGTAGTACTGCACCAGTATTTGTCATTGATCTGGAACAGTCCATGGTCGCGGGAACCGTTGCTGTTGACGGGGCTAAGAGCGCTCGTACTTCGGCTGCTTTCCTTTTCCACAAGACATACCCCTGGAATTATAAAATTATTTTAAATAGGATATATATTATTAAGGAGAAACGTGCCTTCCGAAGCACGGAGACCACGGTCACCCATTTTATGGTCATTGTCATTCCGAAAGTTGGTTAACAACCGTGTTGCAGATCGAGCGTGCTAACCACTGCCCCACCGAGTTCCTCAATCCTCCTTGTGAGGTCCGATTAAACCTTATTGACTTTTTTCCGTTGATCGTTATAGTAACATATATTGTATGAAAATTTCAATGGTCTTCCTATTACGGTTCATTTATAGCTTTGTGATAAGCTTAAAATTATGTATATATAGCAAGTCAGATGCTTTAAATTAGATAGTGATTGTTACATTGTGTATACATTTATTATTTACGATACTGATGACATTTGACCTGCGATTACCCACGGCGAAGAGTCGAGTAGGTATTATTTATATGAAAAGTGAATGTAAGAGTAGTAGAGAGCAGAATTTTAATACTGATAAAGAAATATTTTAACAATCTTTGCATACCCCGTAACGGTTTTGGAGTACAACTTCAAGAAATGGAGAAATATATGTAGATGGGCCAATAAGACAAAAAAATAAAATTGTGTTCTGGGAAAAATTTATACTGTAAAGCTTATACGCCGAATGTTTTTGTTTAATAATAATGATTTATATTTTTAAACCAATTAATGAAAATATTTTTTTTCATTATTGGCAGTCTATTTCTCATGTCAAATGAAACACCAATCAGAGTGCATGACGTCATTTGTGGCTTTTTTGTCTAACTCTCTATGAAAAGTGTTGGATAGATTAAAAATGTTAAATAATTTTATTGATTTGCTGAATGTTTAGTGCTGAATGAGCCTACAGGGATATTTTTTGTATTTTTGTATTTGAATATAAAGACAATTTATGATATATTTTTTTATGAAAGCACCCATACTGTATTACATTAAACCGTTTTTTGTAAGTTGTCTGATCTCATGCTATGAAAGCAAATGGTTTTCACTCATCGTGCAAGTGCTAGGAGTTTCAAACATGGGGGTACTTTTTAGGACTAAGACGGGAGTTAACGTAAGTTGACCGCTAAGATGTTGTTTTTGGGGTTGATAGTTTGTATGAAACTCCGTTATACAAGTGCTGAGATTTGAATTTTGTATGGGGATTCTTTTTAGGATTTAGGTGCTTTTTAGAAAGTTTGCGTTAAACAACTTAATATATATCTTCATAACTACGCGGACAAATTGCGGGCAACAGCATTTCTGATATAAAATAAAAAAATGGGATTTTGATTTATTAATGAGATGTCTTTTATGGCAATTAATCATCATTACAAAAGCATAAAGGTGATAACATAACGTCATATTATCTAGTCTTTTTGTAAATATTGTTCTATTTGTAAAAATGGTTTCTTTAAAATGATGTAGTTTCTTACAGACATTCTTTTTTATACCCTTTTTATAGGTAAGTTAATGTTATTCCAGAAAAGAATGAGCAGTAAGAAAATTATGGCTTCGTGAAAGAGATTAAGCAATAAGAATAAAGAAAATTTCGACATTACACTACTGGAGTGTAAATATAATTTCAAAATATAAAACTTAAATTACAAACAATAAAGCTAACTGTGGTAATAATACCGCAAAACATATTTTTTGTAATAAGTCCAAAAAACAAAAAAAAAAAATACAACAGCACACTCACAATTACTCAATTGATTCGCGGGGAATCCTTGCTTCCTCAATTCTCGCGCTAATTGGCATCTCGTAAATGTCTTCGCGTTGCACTGCAAGCAGAAGGCAGCTAGAATAGTCACCAATGTCAGTTTCATATTGAAGAGTGCAAGCACTTGCTACACTTGTGACGGAGATATACAAATAATGCCGGTATAACCACTGTGCAGTTTATATACAAACTCTTTTGTTAGTTTTTGGAATGACCTGTCTTATCGTGGCTTTATCGAGTTGTTTCATCATCCAGGGGAGCCCCTAATTTATCGATAATTTTCTCAACACTCTTATAACCCGATTTGGTAAAGGTTCTTCCCAAATCTTTAGGTAACGTCGATGTGTAAACAGATTCGTTTCACTATGGTGATAATTCTCTTTGTGGCAATTGTGACTGGTCATATGTAGTTACTTTATCTTGTGATGATGCAGTTTGGATTTAATTTATCTGGGGAACTTCCACGTGAAAAAAGTTACGTGAAATCTTTTTTTCAAAAAATAGAACCGACTTCTTATTTAAAAAAAGTGAAAAATAATACGAATACTTATCTTAAAAGCGATAAAATTATTCAAGAACATTTGAAGTCGGGTATTTTCTGTAGTTTATTATTCCGACTTTATTTTTCTTAAAAAGGGTAACAAGTGCTTTAAGGTTAGTATCATGGAAAATGTTTTTATTTAATTATTTTTTGTGCTACTTATATAGGTACTATAAATTTATATTTGGATAGGTATCAATAAAATATAAAATAGGTATCTATATAAAAGAAATTATATTTACATACCGAAAGTCTATAACAAACGCACACACCCAATAATCAAGTAAGTACATTTAAAACAATAAATCACAGAGCCAACAACTTTATACAGACTTTTTGTGTAACATTCTTTTACTATTCCTATGCGTTTGCTAAGTACCCCGAAATCTATGACAAGGTCGGATAATTGCTCTCATAGAGAAATAGGTACTGAATTAATCGACTTGGTTTACGTTGATTTCATAACTTTTTACAGCAGAAGAATTGCGTTGTGAGACTTGTGCATTTTGGTATATGTTATGTTTTTGATGGATCTCATTTATTTTTTTAAGAAGTTTCCTTTTAGGGACTTGGCGGGGCATGGAACTGCAGATAGGTATATCTTTTTTTTCGTATTTTAAGTGAATGCACCGTACGCTATATTTTGTATTTCGCTTATATAAACATGTCATCAAAATATTAAGGTATTATTTGATGAAAAGCATGTTTTGTTTTATTACAAAAATAAATCTACTGATTCTATTTCGATAAAATTAAATTGGACCACTTCGACCCACTAAGCTGGCGAATAAAAAATAATTTGAAAATCGATTCATAATCGGCGGAGTAATTGCGTAACAAATACACAACAAAAAAGACAGTCAAATTGAGAACCTCCTCCGTTTTGGAAGTCGTTAAATAAGGTCTGGACTAAAACTGTTGTTCGTTTACAGGCCCTACTACATTTTCACTGCCTTTTGCTTAAAAATTATTATTATTAAGGCGAAAGTTAGTAGGTTTGGATGTTTGTTACTTCTTCACGCAAAAACTACCGAACGGATTTATATAAAATTTGGTATATAGGCAATTCTTGGTCTGGATTAACTTATAGGCTAATTTTTATCCTACTAAAAGGTTCCTTAGGGATATAAGAACAAATTAAACGGTAAGAGGTATACGAATGTTTTCTAAAAAAAGTTGTAGAGCTTTAAATTATCTATAAAAAAGTCTGCGATGTCATATATCTATGTGATAAGATTTTTTCAAAATAGTTTTTTTTTGTCCGTGTTTAGAAGTTTATTTGAAGTTTTTTTGAAGACAGTTTTTTAAACTAATGTAAAACTACCAATCGGATTTCGTAAAAGTAAAATACGTATCTAACATTTTTCTATTATCGGATTGACGGATTAATTAGAATTACTTTATTGAACAATTAGTGATTAGTTTTTAGTTGTATAATTTTTTATCTCGTAAAAATTATAATTTTGGTTTAGAACTGTATTAAAGTTGTGATGAGGTACACTGTAAATTAATAAGTTTTTATATTTTTCCTTAATAAGTAATATTTGAAAAAGAATTAAAACATTAATGATTTATGGCTGACATATAAATATGTAAAAGTGAAGTAGATATATTCACATATAAACAAATTATGCATTGTTCGATTGATTGATTGGGTTTTCATTGTGATATCATTAATTAAATTGGAGTGTGGACGATCGTCTTCATAAAGATTCTTGTTTATATTTACGTACATGTGACGACCTCCGTGATTGAAATACGAGGGTCAAACTGAAAGTTCTTAGAAAATCAAAAACTGATTACATTAACCAGTTATTAGTTTTATTATATCTTTTCAAAATATTGTCCATTCACGTCAATACACCGCTGCATGCGATGGAACCACTGGGAAAAGCACTTTGCCCACTCGTCCTTAGGGGTCTCTTCAATGGCATCGCGATACGCAGCCACCGCTTCTTCAGCATTCATAAACCGCTTTCCTTTAAGTTTTTCTTTAATTTTTGGAAATAAATAAAAATCACAAGGCGCGAGGTCGGGGCTATACGGCGGGTGACCCAGTAATTCAACGTTTGATGTCGCCAAATAGTCGATCGTTCGCTTGGCGGTGTGCGACGAGGCGTTGTCGTGGTGAAGGAGGATCCTACTGCGAGGTCGTTTCTCTCGAACTTTTTCCAAGACAAGTGGCAAACAATTGGTAGTGTACCATTCTGCAGAAACTGTTTTTTGATCCTCTAACACAATTGTTGCAAAATGACCTATCCTTCCAAAGAACGAGGCCACCATTTTTTTTCCCGCACTTCGATCTCTCTTCACTTTAGTTGGCAACTCCTCGAAAGGAAACACCCACTGAGCAGATTGTCTTTTGGTTTTAGGATCATAACAGTAAATCCAGCTTTCGTCACCTGTTAGTATGTCGAACACAGCATTTGAGTCACCTCCGTTAAATCTTTCAATCATTTTACGACACCAATCCACACGATGGAGTTTTTGAGCCTCAGTCAAATTATGAGGTATCCACCGGGCGCAAAGCTTCCTGACCGCTAAATGTTCGTGGAGGATTTTGTGCACTTGACTCATACCGATGCCTAAGCTTGTCCGAATCTGTTGATAGGTCACTCTTTTGTCAGTCTCTATCATACGCCGCACAACACAGATGTTATCTTCAGTCGTCGCCGTAGAAGGCCGTCCCTCACGTAAATCATCAGTGAGATTAGTGCGACCACGTTTAAACTCATTAAACCAGTTGTAAACAGTCGCACGAGATGGGGCTTCATCGTGAAAGGCCAATCATAGTCTATCATAACTTTCTTGTTGACTTAAATGACATCGAAAGTCATAAAAAATCATTGCACGAAAATTTTCTCGTGTTAAATTCATGATGACGTGACACAGACAATTTTCAATTTGCCGCCAAATCGTAAAACAAATGACAAATGAATGAAATATATACTCAGTAATATTGGCAAAGAGTTATATTTTCAAATTTTAGAATTATTTTTTTATTATATTGTTTATAAGTGGCCAGTTCTAAGAACTTTCAGTTTGACCCTCGTACTAATAAAACCATCATTTTAAGATATCAATTCAATAATTTTTATTTCTTCATTTTTTTAAATATTTAATTATCTATACCGTTGTTGAAGTATTAAGATATGAATTATGATTTGCCTTTTATTTAAGAAAATTGTATGATATACCCAAATTCAACATATCCTTTCGGCTGTTTGGGTGGATTGCCTGAACATTGATGAAAATACGCTCTGTAGTAGCAAAAAAGTAACTAGTGTTTGAAAAATTCTTTCAGATCAAGATCCCCAGGAACTGGTGATACCTATTAGTGCTGCAATGCATCGGACAGCGGAGCGGAGCCGATGGAAGCGTCTAGTAGACGGAGTCAGAGGGAGTCACGATCCTCAGCAGTGGGGGAAACGACTGAAGAGAGAACACTTACAATTTCGTAAATAGTAGCTACTGAGAGAACAAATATAAATGTGATATTCATGTTGGAATTTATTTCAAGCATTCGTTATTTGCAAAGACTACTGTAACTAATTATGTGAAAGGTAGTGAATAGTTTATACGTACGAGTTATATTTTTCAAGTGAGTGTTTAACGTAGTGTTGACTTCAATCAAGGTTTTCGACCTAAGCGGGGTACAGTCGCAGCTTAAGGTGAGGAGGTGTAAAGATTGAAAAGGGAACCCATTATCTATCACAAAATGTCGTCATATTTCATGAAACCGTTCTCAGAAAACTTTACCTTTGGTTACTTATCAAGTAGGTGTAACACGAGTATTATTTTATATTATGTTTTCCTTCTTTTTCCATTACTCAGACATATTTCGCAAACATTTGTTCACTGGCTTACCTACTTATAATTGACATAATTTTCCTTCTTATTCTTTTATCCCGATATTGTGGTTGGTACTCCCCAGTAGAATAACCAATTTAGTGTTACGCATTGACGTGTCGAGGTATATAAAAGGGCTTGTTTTTTGGTCATTAACATATATATTTTTGACTAGTGAATTTTCTTGTTTGTCTGTGGTCGTTTTTTGAGAATGAAGCAATTCTTAGCAATAATTACTGTGGTGGCTGCAATTTGCTTGCAGTGCCAAGCAAAGACTTTTACACTCTGTAATTTGGTTCACGAGCTCAGAAAGCAGAAGTTTCCAGAAAACGAAATGAGGAATTGTGAGTTCATAAACAAGTCTCTTTAGATTTTTCATTACAACTGTTCTTGTTCCGAAGCTAAATAGCAATTCCGTTTGTTGGCAACAGTTTAAATAATTAATATTAAAATAATAATAAATACATTTTTTATTTTTATCTTAGGGGTTTGCCTTGTGGAGAAGGAAAGTGGACGTCGCACTGACGTCATCGGGCCTCCCAATAGTGATGGGTCCCGCGACCACGGCCTCTTCCAGATCAACGACCGCTACTGGTGCAACGATTCTAATGTACCAGGAAAAGAGTGCCATGTTACCTGCCAACGTTAGTTAATGTTCAATTCTTAACTTGATAGTCTCTTTGAAATCCATAACATTATTCGAAATGTTAATATCATTATAGACGAAACGGGCTTGTGTTTCGTTAGTATTTGTTTTTATGCCGTTATATTGTTTGATTTTCTAGAGTTATGAACACATTAATACACGAATTTGTTGCGCACACGTATTTATTTGCAAGTGATGCACATTTATGTTCCATATATTACGTAGGTGTGAAAGTTGTTAAGTATCGCAGATTTGTAGTTATTATAATACAAATAAAAAAACATTATATTTATAGTTCTCGCCTGGTAACTAGGCAGTACCTAGTCATTTTTTATTAATTTGTCGATGATAGTAGGTTATATTACGAAAAACCAACAGTAATACTTTACATACAAAACGAAAGTAGGCTTTGTTGGAGTATATACACCCATATGGGGTGGAAACTTTCAATACAATATTGGAGTTCAGCAATTGACTTCCGTAAAATAACACCTGATTAGGTATTCATAAAATTGAAATTTAAGTTAGCTTCTTTAATTAAAACTCTAAAACAGTTTTTTATTAAAATAGGAGTGAATTTAGACTAATATTTTGTTTATTTTATTCACAAGAAAAAGAATTTTCTAATGCATTCTATATTGTATTTCAGAGTTGAGGACTGACGACATAACTGCTGCATCAACTTGTGCGAAGAAGATTTATCGGCGTCACGGATTCAACGCTTGGTACGCTTGGCGCGATCACTGTAAAGGAAAGTCTCTACCAGACATCAGCAGATGTTAATGGATCAGGAAGACAACTAGGCTATCATTTATATTAATTCCAAATAATACATACTATACGCGTGTATTGAGTTAAATTGGATTAGAGACAGAATAAATGTTTTTTTATTGTGGTTTGCTAAAAGTCACATGAAAATTATATATATTTACAAGTTTAAAAAGCAAAAAAGCTGTATTTATGTGAGGTTACTTAGCCGACTCATAATTCTATAATAAAAAATAAAAGTGAAGTTTATCAGTCATGTTAACCCAGGAAGGGTTGCTCAGTAATTAGAACAGTTGCTCGGATTTCGAAAGGTCGTGGGTTCGAGTCCCATCTCAGAGTATTAGAGCAAGAGGATTTTTTAACCATTTTTTCATTAAAACAATTAAATTTTGTTTATTTTGACATAGTTTTTGTAAACCATACATACTTATATTGTAAAAAGGAATGATTTGATGCTTGTTTGTTTGCATTGAGAAGGCTCCGAAACTATTGGACCGATTTAAAAAAAATACACAGGCAGAGTCGCGGGAAAACAGCTAGCTTTATCTAAATTGGATCACAACTCAAGAAGAAATCGGTGAACTTATTTACATTAAATATACATAACCGTGGAACATAAAAAAGTAACTTTTTGTAGGGCCGGTCATAAAGGACGGGTGACCAAAATTTTTTTATCTCCAATACCAACAAACTAAGGAGCTAAAGTACTTGTTATATCTAATTAATCTACAATATCTCATCTAATTAATCTACAATATCTCATCTAGTTAATCTACAATATCATAACCTAATAATAAAAGAAAATTTACAAGTAGACAAGTAGCAGACAAATAAGAAGACCAATATTTACTTGCAGCACGGTCACAAGCATGACACATAAGCCAGCTACTGCATCGCTTCGCACAATAATATTTAGCGAAGGAATCCTCATAATTAACGAAGTTAGTGAAGACATGTTTCAATACAAGCAGGATACTGCAAACAACAAGTTTTCCGCGATTAGATTAATTCTAAGACATTGCAGTTTTGTTTGTAATATTTAGTAAGTATGCTACGTCGTACAGACCAAACAGGAAACATATTTTAATAATTGATATTGTTGCCAATTGTTAAAACAGAAGTGTTACATAGATTTATCAACGTACTGATATTGCTTTTTTGTTGATAACGCAGAGAATAAACACCAGAGCTCTTGAATTACCATGTCCTGGAAATGGCAGGCTAAAGCGTGGTTGACTTACCTGACGAAGCTCGATAACATTAAATAAATATATCAAAAGTTCGTCATTATTAAGAATGATAGTATATTTTCAATACTTACCCCATTAAGTATATTTATCGTAAAATATATTTTATAGGTTTTATTGCTCGGGTCAAGTAGACACCGCTATTGTCTTATCAAATGAAGGCTGTTAACCTTTACCTCAGGATCAGGAGTGAAAAAACCCAATTTATTAATAGAATAGAAAAGGTATATAAAGCAAACATTGTGTCCAGCTGGTCAGACACTCTTGTTCTTGTCGCGTTAACTTTCTACTTGCTTGAGGAATTGCCATGAAAATGAAGTTACTCTTAGCAGTAATTACCGTAATGGTATTGGTCTGTGCACAGTGTGAGGCTAAGACGTTCTCACTATGTGGCTTGGTTCGTGAGCTCAGAAAGCAGAATTTTCCAGAACATGAAATGAGAGATTGTGAGTGTCTAAGCAAATCTGTCATCGACAGCATAACGTCATTATTCGCAGTTGTTGCTATTAAGTATTTATGTAATTTATGTAAGTTTACAAGTGGATTTACGTGATTGAAATATTAATATATTTATTTAAACATATACATTTTTTTATTTTATCTTAGGGGTTTGCCTTGTGGAAAAGGAAAGCAGCCGTCGTACTCACGTCATCGGGCCTCCCAACGACGACGGCTCCCGCGACCACGGCCTATTCCAGATCAACGACCACTACTGGTGCAATGATTCTAATGTACCAGGCAAAGGGTGTCACGTCACCTGCCAACGTTAGTTATTACTTCATACTAAGGTTTTTGACTATGATTAATATCAATAACTGAAAAAATAAGTAATCTACGTGTTTACCTGATCCACGTCTAGAAGAAGAGGAACAGTTATATTTATTATTATTTTTTATTCCATTCCACAATGTTTTATTAAAGATGTTACAAATTATAAGTATCACTAGGGATGGATTCTTTAAATTCAAAGATGTATTACATTTTAGTATAACGTGTTAACGTGAGCAGGGATGGATAGTCTAATGGAATCCTGTTAATCGAGTCTTTTTGAGCTTTTTAAATTTATGGATAACATTTCAGAAATGAGGACTGATGACATAACTGCTGCATCAACTTGTGCGAAGAAGATTTATCGGCGTCACGGATTCAATGCTTGGTACGGTTGGGTCAATCACTGCCGGGGAAAAGCTCTGCCAGACATCAGCCATTGCTAATCTATTAAATAAGCAACTTAGGTGTTCCTCAGGAAACATTATGGGGCCACATTTATATTGATTTCAAATAACCCATATAGTTTTAAGATGACACACACACGGCATTATATTCGTGATATTGTATTTTAATTCGTCTTAATTTTTGTCCATATCTATAATACAAATTTGAAGATATAAACATTATTTTTATTTTAAAACTAGTTCAAGTATTATATTTGATCAATTTTTCATTCACAATGATTTTCTGGAAAATATTCGCAGTGAAAAATGCTTTGAAAAATCCATCAGCACCAGGTACGCTGAGGTGGGTCTCAAACCCACGACCCTTCGCAATCTGGGCAAAGCAATTGCTAAGTGATAAGTGATGTCTCATGTCTTAATGGTTAAAGTGAATCAACTCGATGAAGTACGCGATATGGGTTTATCGCATTACACAATCAACTATGAAATTATGAATTAATAAATAGATGAAAGTGTTGCGGAAATATTATAGCAAGAGATGTGTTCTATCATTACTTAGAAGTGTACAGTAAATCGTGTCGAATAATTAACAGAAATATAATTGTGTTTTACTTTTCTGTTTAGTTAGTATAATTTCTGTTTAGTAAGCATTAAGAACATGAGGTGTGGTCATAATATGTGAGGTGAGAAAAGAGTTAAGGTATTTAGATAACAATTTTATACTTGTCAGTCTGTTGTCACATCTTCACTAAGTTAATTTGTCCATTACTACTGCAGCTTTCTCAAATATATCATCTGTTTAAAACCAAAATGCGTCTCGTGTCGTAAAAGCGACATCTCCCGGGTAACAAATTATGAATTGAATAAAATGTGCGATGCGTTCCACGCATGCGCGTCCCATCGACTCCTGGTGTAGCCACATTGCAGTCAGCGTGGTGATGTCCGCTAGTGCGGATGGGCGGCGCGGGCTGGGCGCGCGGCGAGGCGCGTGTTGCCGACGATTCCGACTTTGAGACCTTAAAGAACCTCCTCTCTTCGGAAGATGGCTGGACCTTAGAATACGAGAAGGACGGAGTCAAAGTCTGGGCCGAGGATGCAGCACACGGCGCGCTCAGGACGGTCAAGGTTTGTTGTCATTAATTCCCTTTGTTATTAATCCTGTTTCTGCTGTGTTAGTTTTAATAATATCATTATTTACATTGTCGTATCTAGTTCACTAAATTGAATAAGTTTTAAGTGAAGTAGAAAAGTCTATTTGTCTTGTATCTCTGCTTTGGTTCTTGTCTGCGTTTATCGGTTTGATGAGTATTGTAAAAAAGACTATTTAGACTTTAAACGTTATATATACAGGTTGCAACATTGTCAGCATTACTTTTACTGATAAATTATTCACAGCATACGATGGCCGTATCTACTTATAGATAAATGTTTATGACTCACTCGGAACAGTCATAGTGCTATTGCACAGACAGACAGACTTAAAGAGTCGAACCCGCGATAGTTGGTTTAAATTGGTGAAAAAAAAAAATAGGTGAAAATTCTTGACATTTATTAATATAAAGGTAATCTTTCGAGTTTCAATTGTTTACGGGAATTACAATATTTGTTATAATTAGAGCTGCCTAGATTGTAAAATATGTATGTGTATATTTTAGTCATATAGTGTTGCTATATCTAAGATTGTGTATTCGATTTCCGCCCGAGTGAACACGAACTTTTTTTTTCTATAAGATTTCGGGTCTGTTACTGCATTTGATGTTGTATACTTTATTATACATATACTGATATTATAAAAAATAAAGCTTTGTTTGTTTGCTTCATAATAATGAAGTCGCTTTTAAGATATGTGTTATTTCTTACTTCTTAAAGGTTTGAAATCGGATCTATTTAAAAAAAGTTTCAAGTATAATAATATAAAGATGGATAATTATTTTTTAAATGATCACGATCTGTTCTTTTTGTATTAGCATTTATTATTTGTTGGAATGTCATTGTTTTTGAATTAAGAAAGGGAGATAAATTTTTCTTTTAAATTTCCAAACTTTGGCGAGGTCATCTAAGGAAGTTTGGAATTCTGAATACCAGCTGTTAAAGTTGTTACTGTTAAGATGACGAAGCAGACATTTTGTTGAGATTTGTCTTGCTCCGGGGAATTTCGTAATTCGTTAATGAAACTAAAACAACGTAAAATTTGATCCGCATTTGTACAAAGCTGTAGGCGTCATAACGTATTCTGCTTTCTTTTATTATTTCATGATAAGTAGTGATTGAATGTTTTGTAATTGTAACTTCTATAAAACATCCCATATTCATACTCCTTAGGGACCGACTTATAAAATAAAATTTAAATAAAATGTTTATTATAATTTTGAACAAAGTCCTCCTTCATTTTGTTTACTATTTAAAATCCGCTATTCAGAATATATAATACAGAATATATTTTGTTAAATTTTTATATTCACACATGACTGGTACTGATTTTTTAAGTATTTTTCATTAAAGAGTATACTTTGTATACATATATTTTTTTGTATATTGTAGAAATTAAAAAGCGATTTTTGAATTTCTGGAATAGATTTTTTTTTCTTAACATAAAACTGACTAGAAAAACCATGAATGGCTATGAAAGTTTCTTAATTATCCAACATATCACTTTAATTTATAGAACAAGAAGCTTCTATTGACGTCGTTCGCAGGTTTTGTTTGTGTTATACCTAATCTAATTATATTTACGTATATTTTTTTAACTATAATTTCTTTAGGAATAGTAATATTTAAGCATAGCATCTTAAAGCATAAATTCGATCGTTCGGCTCTCTTTTTTGTTTTGGTCACAGTTTTATTCTAACCCTTTAATCTTTTATGTTTTTATTTTATAAAGATAAATATGCCAACATAAGCTTTATGTCTATGTGTAAAAAATACATTTATGGTAAAATATTATTATACGTCAAATAATTATGTCAAAACGGTTATGCTAAAGCATATTAAGAATAAAAACATAATGCTAAAAAAAGGATCCCGTTTTAACCAGTTAGTTGTCGTTACAAAAAACTATTTCCATCATCATATTTACCTACAGAGAATATTCAACTCATATTCAATATCATTTATTCAGTTTGTTTGTTTAAAGTACTTGTGAATGCTAAAAGCCACGCTATCGGTTCGTAAATCTGTGGCGAGCGGGAGACCTTGTAAGACATAGCGTCCTAGTTATTGACGAAATGCATTTTTATCTTAGGGCAATTTCTAAATATTTAGGCAAGAGAAGGGAAGGGCAGGCAAGGACAGGCAAGTACTGAGAAGGACAGGCAAGTATACTAGTATACTGAGAAGGACAGGCAAGGAACTCAAAAAGGGCTGCTTTTTTCTCTCTTTGAATGGAACTTGTGCTCGTTGTCACTAAACTTAAGAGTAGCCTAAATATTTAGAAATTGCCCTAAGATAAAAATGCATTTCGTCAATAACTAGGACACTATGTCTTAAGTTATGGCATGCGTTATTCGGCGTCTTAAGATAGACATTTCATCACCAGCCCTTTTAAGTCCCCACTGCAGGGGCTCAGGCCTTCCTTATGGATGGTTAAGGAGGATGGGCATTGACCCTCCACGCTGGCCCAATGCGGATTGGAGGGTATTAACGACTGCAAATGCAGCCGGGACCAACGGCTTAACGTGCCTTCCGAAGCACGGAGTAGCTCGAGATAATAATTTTTTGGTCACCCATCCCGTGAACGACCCTTGCGAAAGTTGCTTAACGACTACGATCGCGGGCCGCGGCGCTTATCCACTGCGCCACCGTTACAAATACTCGTATGACAAGGGAAGGGGTAAAAGAAAGAAATATTTATTTAGAATTTATGAAATCTGTTTAGGCGATTCCTAAAATTAGGCGTTTCGTAGTTAAGGTTTGCCTTGTTCTAGATTAGTGAAAACGGGTGTTAGTAGCGTGTGCGTTGATCATTCAGCCGGTCTCTATATGAAAGCTGCGAGCAAAACTAATTTGAAATGATTTAGCAACTTACCGATTACATTAATTGAACTAATAATAAAAAACATATTTTGGGTATACTTAATAAAATACATATATTGGGTATACTAAATGAAAAATGCTTAAATATCTACTTCGTTTCTGGCATTCTGAGATGGTACTCGAACCCGTGACTTTTCGCTATCCGGGCGACTGTTTAATCACCCAGTTACCCATGACCTAACTAGACTGACGAATTTTTCAAGCACTAATTACTTTTTAGGTACTACATAGCGTACTTTTATCATTAAGAATTTTTTTTTAATATAGCATTACGAATGAAAAATTATTCAAATAGAATATTTTGAGTATTTTCAATTTTTTATAATTTAAATATCGGAAAGGGTCGCTCGAGATAAACTTCCATTTAGGCATTATGTTTACCTATGTGAGCTTATAGAGCATGACCTCGGTGGCGTTGTGAACGTACTGAATGGCGTCGCGGTCTGCGATCGTTGTTGTAAAGCAACTTTCGCGGGGGCTGGTCACGGGATAGGTGACCAAAAAAAATACTTTCTCGAGCAACTCCCGTGCTTCGGATGGCACGTTAAACCGTTGGTTCCGGCTGTATTTGCTGTAGTTAATACTCTCCAATTCTAATTGTGGCAGCGTGGAGAGTCATGGTCCATCCTAATTAACCATCCATAGGGAAGGATTGAGCACCTGCAGAGGGGACGTAAAAGGGCTGATGATGATGAGAGCTTTTAATTGCGCTCATGTTTATCGATATTAAATTTTCTTTGATAAGCGAATATAGGCGTCCGTATCTGGGAGCTTAATTAATCTATTTGTGTAGCGAAATAACCGAAGCGAAGCTTACAATCACTCACAAAAATAATGTTAAAGTTATACTCATTTTATTTCCTCATCTGTTCAGTTGCCAAAGAGGGTACTTTGGAGTATATTTTAATAAAACAACTGTCTTTATTAACTTTTCGTTATGAGCGGTTTGCTTGATTTCGGTCTCCACAAAGGTTTCACTTAATAGTCCACTTTGGAAAAGTTTGACTATCTATCTTGTGGGTTGTCGACTAGATTATTTATACACTTATTAATTCATCACTTGTAAGTGGGCAAACGATAGATCCAACATAAAAGAAATAATTTTACTGAGTGCTTGTATTCTTATTTAAAAAGCGCTATAATTTCTTCTATGATCATCCATGTCATAGTAAAACTATTGAATTTTTCACCTTCGCGTACCGTAGCGTAGCCTGACTGAAACATCACAAATAGTTTCACTGTAGTTGCACTGCTCTTAGCTTAATTTCATAAATAATATTCCACGGTGTGACCAAACGTGCCTGACCTCTGCTTAACTACTCATAAGTACTTATATAAGTATTCATATATTTGATGATATAACCATTCTAAAGTAAATTTTACCCAATAGAAAATTATTAACGATTAATTTAACACGTAAAGACCCATTCAGTTTCTTCGCGCCTGGTTAAACACAGCGATTTGGTGCAAAATTAATTTAATATTATATTATTCCACCTCTGTTGTTGTTAGCTTAAATATATCTGTAGGTAGGTATCACATTGACCTCCATTATCACCATTAAAGATATGGGAGGGCCGTTTAAAATAATGTAGGGCGTTTTACCCTTTAAAATATATAATGCCCATGTTTTTATTGCAGACCTTATAGATCCAACTGTTAATGGATGTTCATTTATGTGCTGTAAATTTTACTGGCATGGGAGTCTCTTTAAGGAAGGTAACTTTTTATCTCCCATCTCACTGTTAATTATAAAGGAGAAGAAATATATTACGTGTAAAGATCTTAGCTCACAGGCAGCGGGATACAAGGAGGATTCCCTCTGTCTGTATAATGACATATTTTTAACTACATAATGGATTTTAAAAACTAGTATAATAAATTTTTGTATTGAAAAAATAAATCCAATATTCGCCTAATATTTTTACAACTTTATATATATAGCCTTGCAATTCTGTTAAAATCCAGACACCCATTCATATCCACTCATATGTCTAAATTTACGTCATTTAGTGTAGAAATTCTATTGATTCTATTCATTTTTTGTATAAAAATACAAAACAAAATTGATTGAATATACGTGTCTCAGATAT